TGGTAGGTAAACTGTGAAAAGTGGGTCGAGAAGAAGTGGGTGGGGGGATGCATGGAGCAAATATTTTTCATAGCGCGATGATGTGCCCAGAGACGGAGGGTGACGTAGAGACTTATAAACATTGCGCCACCTTTACTGGAGCGCTGGTTCCGAGTAAGAAGGTAAAGTTCACGAGTCGCTACGATTATGGTTCTCCTCCCACCATGTTATCGTGGAATATAAGAAGTTGGTCGTGTGTTCCCTTCCGGAGAATCAGTCAGGCGTTTTAGTAGTTCGGGCAGGCTAATACGTTTTGGAAAAGCTATAGGCTTCTCAAGTCTTATACTTATACTGTACTACTACTACTTAGTGGAAAAATGGCGAAAAAACGAAGTGAAACGGTCAAAAGCTTCGTTCTTAATGACTCAAAAAGCAATTTCGGACGAGTTTCCCGTAGGCATCTTGCCAATAACCGCTACGGTAGGTACGGCTGCACGTATGTACTCATATATCCATGCAGCACCGCGGCCGCTTCATACCAATCCCTTCGCTTCATAATTTGCTTAGCAAATGAATCAATACGAGCGTCAGGAACGGTCGTCCATTTGTGGGCGGGCGGGCACGGTGGGCGTTCGGGTCGGTACGTTGTGGCTTGATAGAGGGAAGCAGTCGCTACGCAGCGTCTGCTCAGGGGCGCGGGATTCCGTCCTGCCGTATCAACCCTACTCGTCTTAGGATTTATCGTACCAACTGCCTTCAGATGTCCTACCGCCTCTCGTCCAAGCCATCCCAAGCCTTGGATCTCTCACACGTTCCGATAAATCGGTGTCGATCTTCTGTAGCAGAATGAAACACGATCGAGCAACAGTTTCCTCCGCAAATATTGTAATGGATCTATCGCAACAAAAAGCTCGTACGATTTTATGAAAGTAGAATGCGTGGCCGCAAAACAGGTCTCCGCAACCATGAGAACGCTCCGAGAACTAGCCATAGTACATTTTTTCCTCGAGATAATGACAGAATAAGATGTACAGAGTATAAAACTGTCAGTAACGAACGAAAAAAAAATTTTCAACGCCACCATCTCTTCAACGATCCTTGTAATAGTGCTCTCGCAATATTTTTGCTGTGAATAATGCTGCCTCCAAGCTCTCTTTGTCTTGTGTTATATAACAGAATTGCCATCGTTTCACCGGAACCACCTGTATCACCTATTGTCACGTTGATCATCGAATTTCATGAGCGGGCGCCAGTACCGTATCCGTACTTTTATGGGCCAGATTAGTCCGCCAAACTCTCCTACCGCAAAACAGGAAGCCTTGTCATTCCGTACGACGGGCGGGGTTTTCAGAACGCTTGATCATCGAAGCAGGCCCGGGTCCGGGTGTTACCTTTGACGTCACCTGGACCCTGTCGGAAATGCCCTTTAGCAGAGCCATGCACGATGCAATGACGTCGTCGCCCGAAAAGATTCTCGGTTTTCTTGACAGCAAGATCTCGGATATTGAGCGGACAGGGAGTCCAGAACTTCAGAATCCACGATTATACCACTTTGCGGTGTATCGGAGGGAACTCCATAGCCCGCTCTTTCCACCATGCTTCTGGACAACCACCGGGCATGCCCTGTTACTGCGGACTACAGGATTCGAAGAAGTGGGCGCCCACTCAGATTGTCGTGGATAACATTTCCTTCCGTGTCTATGAGAAGGTGGGGGAGGCCTATGAGGGAGACATGATCGTTGCTGTCTCCGCCCATAAGATTAGCACGGACTATGCTTTGATTGCAATCCTCACCGTCTCCTTACCTAGATAGGCTACTTCATATGCCACGAGGGTCTTGACATGGTGAAATGAGCACTGTGATGATGTTACCTACATTCGAAATCCCTGAGATGTGGTGGGCGTGGCGGCTACTAAAACTAAATGTGGTGCTAGACTTGCTTTTGGAGAGGTTTTTTATTTTGACCCAATTATGATCATGTCTTTGACCAATATTGAACAAGACAACAGTCGTCCCTGACTGGAATATCCTACTAGTAAACCATCTGTGCCATGTTCGTATGCTACGCCTATTCCGTCTCAGGGATAAGGAAAGTACTTCTTTGCTGCACTGCAGTCCTAACTTCCTTGAGTGCTTCTGTGCTCTGGCAAGGTTGAGGCCAGCGGCTTTCTCTGTCATGCTGTAGACAACCGAGAATTCTGTAGTTCCCGTGATTTTATTGATTTTGAGCTGAATTGTTACTTTTTAGAGCGGAATGCGCAGTGTTCAGCGACTGTGCTGCTTATTGCTCTTTACAGTAACGGGTATGTTTTTTATTTGCCTATAATTCGGAAAGTTCAGAAGAGAAATCTCCCCACAAATACTCTACAGAAAATACTGACCTAACGCAATCAGAAACTCAAGAAAAACGAAATTGACTGAAGTTCTGGTCCAATGGGGAGGCGGGCAAGAGAATCGTGAATTGCCGCTTTGTTGCGCGCGGCAGTGGACGCGACATTCTCCCAAGTTACGCCACCCTTTCAAATGGAGCATCGGATTTCATGTGGGCAAAAACATGGTAGACACTTATGTCTGATTTTGGCTCATAAATTGTCTCGGTAGACACTTAGTCTCGATTTTGGCCATAAATTGTCTATTCTCGACCAATACCACCTAAAATCGTCGTCATGAGCGGATGCGACGTCGCACGCGACGCCCACTGGGCGCGGCGAGTTACGACTCTCTTGCCACATACCGGTTAAATGCCCTTCTGATGGTGAGTCGTTTGCTTCCCAGAAACAATAGATTGATATATCTCAACCAGTCACGCAGTGCAGGCGTGGACATGAGCTTTAGCATCCGGCATACAACAAGCTTACTTACTTGGTTAAGAAATGACATATTTATGCAACGAAAACGATCAAATTCGATCCAGACGCCAACATTGAAGAACGTCGAGAGCCGTCAATTATCACGCCATAACTCGTCACCCTATCGATAACATGCAACTCGTCCACTTGGCCAAACTGGATGAAGACTTGGTATGCTTTAAGACCTTTTCCATAGTTTGTTCTGGGAAATTCTCTCATTACTAAGGTCACCCACGGACCCATGAGTGTCCAATTAGTGTAGTACAACTATCTGTGTACGTCCCACCACGCCTAATGTTTTCCTGATATCCCTGATTTTCCTTCCCTGATTGTTTTCCTGATCAAATCAGAAAAGGGTGATCTTTTTCTGGTTTGGGATATCAGGAAAACATTAGGATGCATTACATCAGACGATCTCACTGAAGAAAGCCTTTCTTGATGTAAACAGTAGCCTTTATTTCAGTAACCCTGAGCATTTGCGATGATGACGGCGAGCCGCTAAAAATTGCAGTCATAGGAGAAGGTGTCATCGGATTGTCTACGGCAACGGCTATCAAGCAACGGGGATCCAGAGAGAGGTCAGTGCCTTCAGAAATGCCTGTTTCCTCGAGGTGGTAACAGAAAGGCTTTGGGGAAGGTATGATTCACGGTTTCTTTACCTGTCAACCAAGTCTCGGGCACCTGCAAATTCCGAGGGCCTGAAAAACTTTCTCCTTCAGGGAGGTGCTCGATCCTAATAATAACCCATCGGGAATAAGGGTCGAGCGGGCGCACGTTGCTACACCACCCCTCACCCAAATTCTCATAAACTGACTCTGTATTGATTTCTTTGACCCCTTGCTTTCAGATAACAGTATTCCATGACCGCCCTTTTGAGAAAACGCTCAGCAGAGGGATTGCTGGCCTATTCCGTGTCGACAAGTCAACCCCTCTTCAACGGTGAGTTTTACAGGGGCAACATGTGCCCCTGGATTTTTCGCCGCTTCACTTTTGACGTCATCTTTTCGCAAACCTGACAAGCAGGCGGCGGTCGCGAGGCACGATGATGAGCAATACTAGCAAAATAACACTCACGATTTACTTTTCAGGTTGTACGGAAACGAAACCTTTACACGTCTTGCCAAACTCTGGAGAACGTTGGGAGGTTTCAGCGGGGTCCAGCTGCTTTCTGGCCATATTCTCTCCGACAATATGAGTTTGCTGAATGATCAGTACTCACATAAACTTTCAGCCTCATCGGTCAGTCGCACCTATGAGACCCCTGAAGCTCTATCTTTTAAACTTTCTAGGAAAGCTTACAGGTGACATCGTTTATAACTTCGCTTCTTGACGATCGCGAGTGATAATCTTCGATTCGTGCAGAGGACGAGAGTAGCTGATTTGATTTTATAAGGGTCCAACCTGAGCAGCAGGCTATGCCAAAGAATAAAGAAGACATGTGCAAAAGAACACACTAGAAGAAGGCGATCTCATTTCCCTCCTCATGTATAGCGGCCATCGCTTTGTTAACTCCCAGCTGCTTGCCGTTGAACTTCGGGTGAATAAATGAAAAAGAGTAATGGTTTACCACTCTTCAAGCATTTGTGTGCTCATTCAATAAGAGCGCTTCGCTAAACTACCTTCCTATACGAACGTGAAGTGGGCGTTGGCTACGCACTTCACCTGGTATTGCCAAAAGACTCCTTTGCACTTCATGGTTGATGTATCTATGCGATTATTTCGACGCTGCATAGCGTGAAAATCACTGAGAAGGAATGTTTGAATCTCCATGAAACTTTCGAATGGGACCTTGACATCGTACACTCGAATGCTGCATTACAATATGCAGATTAAAAGTGCTAACGGACGTCCCCAGACAGCATCTGGGTGGTCAAGCTTTGGTACTGGTCGTAAGCGCTTCTTGATCCATGCTCGGCAGGTCCACCATGGTCATCGTGGAATAGTCTCGCTTTAGGTCAAACCGCATACGTTTGCATCCTTGTACGTTGGCACGATGAATTTTTGCCTTCTTCCGTATGAGAGCTTCGACTCTAATTCTAACTTCTTTCCGGATTGCGGCCAGCAGGGCGCAAGTAGATCAAGTACATCAAGTGTACGACGTACTCGACTAGTATGATTTGCTCGTATCTGCCCTCTCTGAACATATTACCCATCCGATAATTCAAAGTTTTGCCTAGATATCGCAATTTTGGCCAGACTGAGACCGTTTTTCGCTCGAAGGACGATGATGTTCGTGTTCAAAAAGTAGAAATCTCCATAAACGGAATTTTTCGCTAAAACTTTGATTGGGGCATTGGAGTAAATGTTCAGAGATGTAGGCACATCCATACTAGATCGAGTACGTCATATACTTGATGTACTTGATCTACTTGCCCTGCTGGGCCGTAAATTCGGAAGAATTTCGAAAATTAGAGTTGAAGCTCTTATACGGAGCGAAGCAAAAATTTTCGCGCCAACCGGATGCAAACCCACGTCGTTGACTAAAGCGAGACCATTACACCGAAGCACGCTGGGCACTGCGCGAATCTATCGATCAGCAGCGCTTACGAGCCAGAACTCAAACTTTGACCACCCAGATCTCGTCTGGAGGTCCCCGTAGCACTTTTAATCTGCATATTCGTAATCAGCATTCGAGGCTCTATCGATGTACCTATAGTCTCCATTCAAAGTTCCATGGGAAGTTCAAACCATTCCCTTGTGAGGTAACGGACTTCCGATTGAGAGACACCCAACTTCGTGTGCGTCGTGGCAATTCCAAGCTGATTTTGTAGATGCGCTTTCGTGTCACGTCAATTAGGTCTTGTGAATGCAGCACGAGAGACGCGACCTCCAGCGCCCTTTCGCCGCCTTCGTTATTTGGCGGATTTTCGGTTACTGTGGCTAGGTAGAGCGTTGGGTGCCCCCAGTGGATGTGGGTAGAGTAAATGAGAGGAACTATGGCACGGGTATCCGAGTCACTCGCATTTGTCCCACGAGGGTGGTGCAACTGCTATCACTGCGAAGCAGACTACTTGCTTGCGGAAGATCGACTCCGTACACTCCACGCCCCCGATCAGCACCGCTAGTTAATTAGTAGTGATGGTCCTTTTGAAGAAGAGGGCAATACTATGTCCTTCCTTTGAGTGTTTTCTTTGTACACAGTCTCTTCCTTCCTGGTATTTCCTTTTTGTCTATTTCTGGTATACCTGCATAAAAAAGAAAAGCGGCTTATTTTGCAGCAAAACATCGGGTATCCACTACACAGCGTTCACATCAGAAGGAGCACGATATTGCCCATGGATGAAAAAGGAGCTAAAAGACAAAGGTGTCCAGTTCGTTGAGCGAGAAATCAAAAATCTCGACGAGGTAAGCGATTCCCCACGAGTTCGAGATTTCATTAGTACCTGCATTAAGGCTTGGATTCAAGCTATATTATTGTGTGCTGTGGTGTACAAGCGCATTTGGTAAAGTCGCACGCGACAATACGCGCGAAAAGTTGGTGGAGGGCACGGTCGGAATCGATAACCGAATGAATCAGGATCTGTCGCGCCGGAAGCGCCAAACAGCGCAGCGTCACCTTATTTCAACGCGACATGAGTCTCGTGACCTGCGCTTGGTTTATGTAAGGCTGCGTTTATACTTTGCGGCAGCGTACGCCAGCGTACGCTAGCGTTTCCAGCGTTCGCCAGCGGCAGTGGCAAGAAAGGATAGATATCGATCTAGCGTCACCAGCGTGCGCTAGCGTAGCGAGGGCAAGGAAAGCATAGGTATCGATCTAGCGTTTCCAGCGTTTCACTAGCGTTTGCAGCGGCGGGGAGTAGAGACTATGGGAGAGTAGGAGAGTAGAAAACAGTTCGATTATGCGTGCTGTGAAATTGCGGCGTGTGTAGCCGCACCGCATTAGTAGGCAATACCGTACTAGATACTAGATCGATACCTATGTTTTCCTTGCCACTGCTGCTGGCGAACGCTGGAAACGCTAGCGTACGCTGCCGCAAAGTATAAACGCAGCGTAAGCGGTGGATCCAAGGTATTGTACCCATAGAAACCAGGAACGTCACATTTGATACTGTTGGGGCTTAATAGCATGCCAAGACTTCAGCCCGAATAACGGCATCTTTTAGCTGGCGGACGAAGGCTATTCCGTCGTTGTTAACTGTGCTGGAATGAATGGCGCACGTCTTGCTGGCGATGATAGTGAGCTGTATCCAA